TCCATGTGGAATGCTCATGAGGCTGTCCAGGTGAGGTGAGTGTGTTTTTGGAGGTATGTATGGGTTCTCTAGTACATGAGGTCAGTAAGGGACCCTCAGGGTCACCCAGGTAGGCTTGTTGTGGAGTCGGAAACTTCTTTGTGTTTTGTTGTGAACTGTAACTTCAGCAAGCATGACCATTCTTACCATGTTAACACAACAGGCTCAGGGAGGAGGTACTCGGCTTGAAAGGGGAACTTAGACACTTTAAAAAATTATTGGATAAAAAGGCTGGTTCATTTTTTGAGGTTTGCGACAGACAAGTGAAAGGTTTCTAACATCCACATGATGGGCTACTGCTTGGTTTGGGGGATATTCAAGAAAACAAATTGTGTTCATGGTGGGACTTGAGACGGACCCTAAGGTTCATTGTTTGAGCAGAAATCATAGAAACTTGATTATTTTCTTCTGCATATACAGTATTGTATGGAACTTTTTACAGTTTGGATGATTGAGTCATTGATGTTCAAAATAATGCTATGGTGTTGAACTGGTCCAATTAAATTATCAATAGTGTTGAGATATGTACTGTGTGTGATCACAGATGTATTGGGAATAGTTCGTGTATAGACAGGAAAACCTCCATGGTGCTGTGGACAGAGTCCAGCATTCAGGTCCCATTGCAACGACCCTTGAAGATCCTGGTTAGAATTGATCTTCAGCAACCCATGCTTGTTGTCAAAGGCGACTAATGGGAGCGGATGGTCAGTCTCACTGACTTTGTTGACATATGTCATGTCATCGGTTCCCAAGTGCGCAGATCCATGCTCATGCTGTTGATCACTGGATTGTCTGGTCCAGTCTTGATTATTTACAGACTGCCGCCATATAGCTGGAATATTGCTGAGTGCGGTGGAAAACTAAACTCACTCACTCATTTGACCAAGAGCCATGAAAAGATGGTACTTATTGTTACCCTGACTTGTTCGTGATATTGTAAAACAAGGACTGCTTGACATGAAGTCAGTACGCTGACACCTAGTTGGGATTCCATGTTCCTTTATACCCACGAACCAAGCTTGTCGTAAGAGGCGACCAACAGGATCGGGTGGTCAGGCTCACTATGTTGACACATATCATCGTATCCCAAATGCAGATCAATGCTCATGCTGATGATCACTGGATTGTCTGGTCCAGACTTGATTATTTACACACTGCCACTGTATAGCTGGAATATTTCTGGGTGTAGTGTAAAATATCAAACCAGACTATGTCCCATTGTGGGATGGTTTAGCAGGTGGCTAGCACAATAAAACTCGTGTTGGTCGGGAATAGTACACACGCACTTACATGAGCATCGCTATACAAGTGCAGGAATCTTGAATGTGACATGATGTTTAACCCCATTCGCTTCCAGACAGTCCGAGACTTGTTGATAAGAAAACTGTTTGGGCAAGCGTTGAGTGTATCCCACTCTCTGACTCAAATTAACCCATTATGTCTGTGCAATCAAGTGTAAGCACATGAAGCAGTGGGCTTTGGACTCTCCCCAGGGAGTGGAGAATGGGTGATTGGTGAATTACTGTTGGCCAATCTCCTGTCATAATATTTGCCACCAACTAAACTCCTGTGTTGAACTAATTGCTTATGATGGCTGAATGGAGGTTAGAGTAAATAATGCCCTTCACGTCCCTTGATGTAGGAGCTTCACAATTGTATTACGCTTCAATCACAAATGGTTTATTAAGCACAATCTTGTACCATCACATAATAGGAAGGTATTATCATAATATCGTACTTAAATATCCTTAGCAACGAGTCTCAACCCGCCAACTTTGGCAATTACGGTAAAATAAATATTTTAGGATGACTAACGTGGGAAGTTAAATATTAATTGATATTGCTCTTTGAGCTATTTTGAAATATATTTCTGGTATTCTGGTTTAGTGTTTGAATTCTACATGAGCATGTTTACAAATGCATTCGTTATTGTTTGATTATTTGAAAGAGTAGGATAGCCTTGTGGTCTAAGCGTTAGCTCATCACAAAAGACCCAGGTTCAATTCTAAAAGACATAATTTGATTTTTAATTTATTGTTGAATATTAGGAACATAAAAAATTGTTATTTGAACGTTCGTACTTAGGGATTAGTGTTACCTGAATAAAATGTTCATTTAAATTAACATCTTTGTTGTCTTCATGAAAATAGTATCTACCAGATGATACCACCAACTTAATCCTGACTATCAAAAACTAACGAGAAATCTATAACATCAGAGAATTTAAAACCAGCTCTAAAGACGATTGTTAACAGAAATCGAAAATACTGGAAACTTGAAATAGATTTGATTTTGGCTTATTCACAATGTGTAACATGTGGCTTATCAAGATGGGCACATGTGATATGTATCTCGTCTTTGTCAACTCCACGCCATTCAAATGTATTTCACAGCTACTGTGCATTTCCATGAAGACAACGTACTTAGCAGCGTGTCAGTGATAAAGGGGCAATAGACTGTATTTCCCACAAAAACTGCTGATTGACTTGGTTAAATGAACCATTTTATCTTCCTTTTTGTTAAAGGCTTGTGGATTTCACAAGGCATTGAAATGTGACGTGCATTCATGATTTTATTGTGACAAAGAATCGGCAATAAGGTTTTCAGTGGTTTTACGACTTTGGGCATGGCATAGAATACATTTAAAGGTTTGTGTTTGTTGACCTGGGCTGCTTAGGTTTATAATTCTTATAAACTGTTTGCTGTCTGCTTGCCAGTGACAAGGTAATGTCAAAATGTCAGATGTTATATACTTCTCTGACAAATGGTTCTGCTCTGGATTTTATCAGAATGCATTTCAAAGAATGTATTTTCATGTTTTGTGAAGGTTTTGATCACATCTTTTGAGAACACATTGACATAAATTTCATTTTTAGATATGAATGATCGATGTTTGAATCAGGAACAGATAGTGGATTTTAGGAATTGGATGACATCTTCACAAGTTGATGCATGTGTTATAGGGACTAATTCAGGACAGCCATCGTCCAAATATCTAAAAAGTGAAAAACTATGTAGTCAAGACATGGGAGATGGCCTGACAAGTCAGTGTACAATGCGGAAGTGATAAGGATTACATAGAATACAGATAAGCGTCATATAAATAATTACAATAAAGTCTCACATGTCTTGAGTACATAGTTTTTGACTTTTTAAATATTTGGACGATGGCTGTCCTGGAGTCATCCCACAGATGACATCCTTACCTTGTCAGTGTAGCAGAGCGTGGAGTCATCCCACAGATGACATCCTTACCTTGTCAGTGTAGCAGGGTGTGGAGTCATCCCACAGATGACATCCTTACCTTGTCAGTGTAGCAGGGTGTGGAGTCATCCCACAGATGACGTCCTTACCATGACAGCGTGCTTAAGATCTTAAACTCTCTGTTCATATTTTGAACAGGAGGTCCATAGTTTAAATTAAATGCCTTCAAGAAATTTGGAACTTTTAAGGCCTCTATGACTGCAAAATCCCAAAATTTATAGGATACCTCTATATATGTCCCAGGCTCCATCTATCAGTTTCTATCAGTTTTGTAATATTTTTCAGTTTGTGTTTAATTTTAAATGCCATTTTCAACATGTCTGCTCTAGTAATTGCATGTAATTATATGTTTTGCATCATTTATCACAGAGATGATAATTCACCATCAGCTGAAGATATTTGATACCTTGTCTAAATGCCACAGACCTAATAGTACTTAGGGGACAACAAATTCCCACTTGTGTATCTCTCAATTTCATTAAAACCCTATCATTTCAAGTATTGTGTTTAAACTGAGCTTTCAGCTTTTAAATGAAATTTGAGACAAACTTAAATGCTTTTAGCACGGAGGCATACCATGGTGTAAAAGATGTCTCACATTTGTGAGCCAGATCGTCCCTGTCAGCTGTGGTATAACATTAGTTGTGTGGCAAGCATTATCAACAAACTGACCTCAATAAAACTAGATGGTCACTCTGAGGAAACATTGACCTAAGCTCGGGTTTCAGAGGGACCTGACCATCACTATTGAACATCCAGTAATTCTCTCTGGGATTCATCATTCTTCCCTTCGATAGCCTTGCTGTGACAAAGAAGTAATTAGGAGACTACAATATCCAATAAAGACACATGCATACTGTTTGCTGTACAACTGTTCATAGGAAGAACTAGTTACTGAATATATTTTGGGGGGCAAATTTACATTTTCGATTTGCATATGCCACATCCTTTTGACGATAGGCCCAACTAAATGTTGCCAGTCGTTTTCAATGGCTTTTCAGTGTTAATACACGAAGGCCACAAAAGAAGTTCACACATGACTGCATATTTGGAAATTGAGTAATCCTAACTAGGTTCACGGGCAATGTTGCATTGTTCAAATTTTAATTATGAAATACAATATTTTGCCGTGTGTATGTCATTGATGTTAATCACTTCATGCAGATCTGTTTAAACGCTTGAATTTCTTTTTGTTGGCGTGGAATTGTGGGTAATTTCCTGTGGTGAATGTGCCGGGGATGCAGGAAGCGTTTGCTGGATTTTGAGGTGAAATTCAATGAAACCCAAAGGAAAAAATATTCCATCATATTTCAAGGAATTTGAATGAATGTTTGAACAAAGGGTTTATGAGTCAAGGAATGAATAGTAATTGCATGATTGTGACTTCAAAGATGGAGTCTTGAAAAACTGAAAATATATCGTTCATTGAACTTGACAGTTATATTTTAATGACTTTATTTTGTGGCATTTGTTTTTCCATTATTTTCCGGCATGTCAAAGTTGTAGAAACTTTGAATCGAAGAGCGTTATGCTGTAATTTCAGTCCAGTGCGCTTCATAAAATATGTGTAGAGAATGCAACAAGCGATCTGATTGGCTGATAACCACCATCCCAATATACACCTGGCTCATGTTTATGAATTAAACTGGTTCTTCTTCCTCGCAACATATATGATGCTGATTTTTATTGTTTTGCAGGAAGAGATGCAAAAGGCGGATTACTGACTCGGGATATACAAAAACTGGGCTTGAAGGTAAGAATATACTCTTATGTTTTTGTTGCAACTATGCTTGCTTTGTTATCTGCTGAGAGTCATGCTTTTTAAAATATTTCACCAAGGTCTACATTGGCATTGTGTTCTACTGAGGGAGTAAATTGGCTTTGTATTCTATTGAGGGAGTACATTGGCTTTCTATTCTACTGAATGACTACACTGGCTTTGAATTCTACTGATGGTGAATGTTAGCTTTGTGTTCCATGAGCGACTACGTTAGCTTTATAGTTTACTGTGGGACAAGTTTAGTTTTATATTAGCTTTGTGTTCCATGTTCTACTAAATGACTATATATAGCTTTGTGTTCCCTGAGCGACTATGTTAGCTTATAGTTTACTGTAGGACAAGTTTAGTTTTGCGTTCTACTAAATGACTATATTAGCTTTGTGTTCCTCTGAGGGACGATGTTACCTAAATATTTTACTGAAGGACTATCTGTCCCGGCGCTGGACAACAATAGCTTTACAATCCATTAAGGTACCATATTAGCTTTGTATTTTCCTGATACACTAGTTAGGTCTTAAACTGCTGAATTGCAATGCTTGTATTAGATATATAAAAATGACCGCTGGAAGCAGCAACCACAGAAATTAACAATTGAATTTGGAGAATCAAACAAGAAGCTGAAACCTTGACGGCAAGTTTTCTGTCTGTACTCTGTGTAGAGCTGGTTTGAGTGGTCTGTCTGTACTCTGTGTAGAGCTGGTTTGAGTGGTCTGTCTGTACTCTGTGTAGAGCTAGTTTGAGTGGTCTGTCTGTACTCTGTGTAGAGCTAGTTTGAGTGGTCTGTCTGTACTCTGTGTAGAGCTAGTTTGAGTGGTCTGTCTGTACTCTGTGTAGAGCTGGTTTGAGAGGTCTGTCTGTACTCTGTGTAGAGCTGGTTTGAGTGGTCTGTCTGTACTCTGTGTAGAGCTGGTTTGAGTGGTCTGTCTGTACTCTGTGTAGAGCTGGTTTGAGTGGTCTGTCTGTACTCTGTGTAGAGCTAGTTTGAGTGGTCTGTCTGTACTCTGTGTAGAGCTAGTTTGAGTGGTCTGTCTGTACTCTGTGTAGAGCTAGTTTGAGTGGTCTGTCTGTACTCTGTGTAAAGCTAGTTTGAGTGGTCTGTCTGTACTCTGTGTAGAGCTGGTTTGAGTGGTCTGTCTGTACTCTGTGTAAAGCTAGTTTGAGTGGTCTGTCTGTACTCTGTGTAGAGCTAGTTTGAGTGGTCTGTCTGTACTCTGTGTAGAGCTAGTTTGAGTGGTCTGTCTGTACTCTGTGTAGAGCTAGTTTGAGTGGTCTGTCTGTACTCTGTGTAGAGCTAGTTTGAGAGGTCTGTCTGTACTCTGTGTAGAGCTAGTTTGAGAGGTCTGTCTGTACTCTGTGTAGAGCTGGTTTGAGTGTACTGTCTGTACTCTGTGTAGAGCTGGTTTGAGTGTACTGTTTGCGTGATGGTTTACAGCAGGTTAGCTTGGTCTAATACTGTTAGAATGAGTTGTAGGAAGATGCTATTTAGTCATGGGCTCTTGATCATGGCGGCAAGATAGTATTTTATGGCAGCCACTAACAGAAGATCATGGGCAGATGTTCTAAATGTGCTGCAAGGAACAGCCGTCCTGACCGTGAGTGTAAATGGTCATTCAGCCCATGTGTTGACCTTGGAGATTAGAAAGATCAATGTCCGAGATGAGTAGATTTGATACAGGCTGTATGACCTTGAGTAACAAGATGCAAAAATGTACCCTGCTCATTTGGCATAGTGGCACAGGTGTTCACTCTTTGGGTTTGTTTCCTAACATTGGTTCACCCAACCCCGAACTCCACCACCCTTCAGCACCATGGCTAGAAAACTGACCTACATCGAGCCATTGGTAGTGATCTGACACAAAGACACGCTGTACAGACTGATGACTGCTCATCACCTGCTTGTATTCCCCATGTTGGACATAAATTTCGATCACTTCCTGATAATTACTTAGGGTGTGATAACCATGTCATTTTAACAGCTCCCAGTTCATCTGATATGAATCTCTATTATTGATGTAGCACTTTTTCGGTGATTTGAAATCATTTAATGCCTAGTTTTGTCTTTTTATGAAAATTTTAACAAAATACACATCATAAATTCCTTAGTGGACGATTTTCTGGCCTGTTAAGCAAACAGTGTTCTTTACGCTAGTGATTGTGTATCAAGTGTTAAGGGTGCCATAAACAGACACACACGGGTAGTTAAGCATGCAGTCTGAAGCAATAAAATACTTACGTTCTTTCGTGCACTGAGCTGAGACACGACATGTCTCCTTTGAAGTTTAATCTGCATCCGAGGTGTTGTAATTAGTAGTCATCAGGGAAATATGTTTCCAAATCTTCAGTACAGATTTAGTCTGGAGGGAGATAGCATTTGATTGTCTTGCCTCAAATAGGAACTTCTGTTTTTTGTAAAACATTCAACATTGATGGTTGTGGCTTTTAAAAGGTTTGATTAGAAGTACACATCTCATCAGTGTTGTTGGAGTGTATTTTTGTTTGTCAGTTAAAGAAATGTAATGAATTTTCAGTGAGTTAATTATGCATCGTCATCATGTGTTTAGAAACTATTGTCTGTCTTCCCTGTGATTGGTCAATATCATGTTTGAAAGCATGAATCTATATATTGTCAGTTTTGTGGAAACCAGTATCTTGTGTAGAACATTTTTGCATGTTATTCACAATTATTCATACTAAACTACATACTTTTCATAGTTATTTACTGAGAAAATAAATCCATCCAGTTGTAAGGAAAACATTACGAAAACAACTTTCATGATTTTCATACTTTTCTGCATTGGGTACTGAACATGAGTGGCCAGTACAGAGGCACCTACTGATCTTGATGCTCTGATGTTGAACTCTACAGATATGATTAGTTACATGATTGGATGTGATCGTTAGTCTTCAGGCAATCAGTATTAACCAACCTATATCCTAGCCGTAATTTCTAGAGTAGAGATCATTAGTTGTTAGGAAAGCTGTACTAGAAAATCTATAACATGGTGGTTAGTTGGAAAAAGAGAATGATTATATGCTTCTGAAACTAATATTTTTCAACAAGAGTATTATATTGAGAGGAAAACTATATAAATTCAGGAAGCATGTTGTGTACTGGTTTACTGAGTTGGGCGTAATTAGTGAAATATCTGCTGCAGCATCTATCGATAAAAGAGATGAGTGTAGGCATGTGATCCTTGTATTGATATTGTGTCAAATACAGAATTTATCGTGGTTGTCAGCAGATGACAGATTTCTCCAGAGATCTTGCATTGAGGACTGCCAATCAAACTTTAATGGATCCTTTAAAAGAGTAGACTTTGATTGAAGAAGCGTTTTTCTGAAAATCGGAATCTGTCAACTGATTTTGTAATCCATCTGAAAACAGCACTTATTTTTTTCTGCACAAATGTATACAGCGATTCAGTTGCTGCCCTAGGGAGCAATGTGTATCAAAACATTGCGGCATTCCATAAAACAAGATGGATGTTTCTTAGATTTAAAACAGAAATAGCACTTTCCTTACAACTGATCTTAATAGTGTGTCTGTCAGCTGACATTTGAGTTAGACATGCATCTGTTTTGCAACTGAATTATAAAAGGTGGAGATTAGTTGTCACGTGAGTAGCACCATTGATTCCGATCGTCTAGATTCCAGGGTTTTGTGACGGACCTGCGACAGAGCGGTACTGCTTATTGATCTCCTCGTTTGAAGAGTGCTCAGGCTGTCGAGTGGAGACTTGGGTTACAAATAAACGGTAAAGAATCTCAAGATTACCTGTCACAAATTCTGCGACATTTTACGGCTAAGACCCAGGATGTTTTTTCCCAAGTAATCACCCGTCACTCAGAGACGTCAAATTTGAATTGCATTAGCCTCGTACCCACTCGTTCATATATGTCTGCGAATACTTGTCTACAGACTGGAGATTGAAAAAAAATTGGGATTCACAGAAATAATATTGAACTTTGTATAATGATGCTCACATGAGACGGATAACGTTCCCATTGCCTGGGGTTGTGGAATAGAATAACAAGTAAGTAATTTGGCTCATGTAAGATGCCATTGATTTAAGATGAGCATCGATTAAATACGCTTTGAAGCATGAAAACACATTGATAATGACTATGAAACGTCATGGCGACATACAAGAGATGTTTGAAATTGTAAATCTTCATCTTATTTGCCCTGCTGCTCTTTTGTAGCTGTACGAACTCGGAAAGATCAACACTTTTGAAATTGCAGCAGAGTGTGACTTAATCTAAGACAACATGTGGGCAGGTTGCAGCTTGCATGGGAAACTTATCCCCGGGAATGTTATCTTGTGGGCCGCAACTATCCATCACGGTTAACACACACCGAGATATCAGATGAAAATTCAGAATTAATTGTGTATATGAGTCTACCACTAATTGAAAATGAGTTGATAGGAAATTAGGAGGGACTGATCCAAACAAGCAGTTGTCCCAGGAGTAGTATTTTTTAACCACCGTCTGGAATGGGTGTGAATATTTTGGAGTTTTATGGTGGTGGGGGCAATAACAAGATTCTGACATGAGTAATAGAGGGTGTAGAATGTTCAACTGTGTTTTGGCGGAGGAAAGTTTCTGTGATGGGTTGGGTTGGTTGATAAGTAATGAAGGAGGAAAAACCTGAAAATTAGAGGAATAAGGAGTGGAAAAGGTGATAGTTTGGAACAAAACTGTTGTCTTCACTTCATCAAGTATGACAGGCAGAGAATTACCTTCCTTGAGTTCCTCCTTCTCCATTTTTCTTGTCTATAAAGTCTGTGCCGACTTTCCTCTCCTTGACTTTATAGACAAGAAAAATGGTGAAAGAGGAATTTTTGGCGCTTTAATTTATAGTTAATGTTGCAGGGAATAATATTAGGCTTAGTTTATGTGTCAATCTTTAAAAGAATCCTGGTGCTTGGAGCCTCTGCAGTTGATGATTGGATTTTCATTAGCTTTCATCA